ATTAATTTTATTAAACTTAATTCTTTTTATCTTTTATTTATCATGAAGGATCTTTAAAATTTTAATCAATGTTACTCTTTTTCATTCCTTTTATTTTATTTTTCTCTTTATCATCTGCTTATATCTGGGAATTTGATCCAAATAAACTACAACGCCAATTAACTCAAAACAAAACTGTCTTATTATTACATTATATCCCTTATGGAGAAACATATAAAAATTATAAAAGTACATTTAGTCAACTCGACGAAGCAATACAAAAACAACAAAATAAAAATATTATTGTTGGTCAAATAGACTGTGAAGAATATGAAGACTATTGTGAAAATAATCAAATAACTCATTATCCTTCATTCACTATTCTTCAACCAAATGATCAAACAATTTTTATTAATTCTCTTGAAACAAAAAAAATACAAGAAGCATTACATACAATTGGTATTGAAATTGAAGATATTAAACCAATTCATATCATCACTTTCACTTTTGAAAATTCTACTGAAATAGCAAAAGAACCAACTCTTGTAAAATTCTTTGTTCCATGGTGTGGTCATTGTAATAGCTTAAAACCAATTTGGGAAAATATTTCACGAGAGTCTAAACTCAGAATTGGTGAGGTAAATTGTGACAAAGAATCTCGATTATGTTCTATTTATTCAATTTCACACTATCCAACAATTATCTATATCACAAAAGATCAAAATAATAATGAAGTTAGAGAAGTTTATGAAGGAGAAAGAACATTTAAAGACTTAAAAACATTTATTGAACAGAAAAATAATTCAAAGAAACAAGAACTTTAAGTGATTTATTATTTAATACAAAATAAAGAAGTTGAAAAGAATAAATAACAAGAAGTAAAAGTTAATTTGGTTCCATTTCAATCTGTTGAGTATTTGAAGAATTAGCATTAGTTAAATCATCTCCTTTTTGTCTTGATTCAGAAGCAGTTGATGGTTGAGGTGTTGAAACATTCTTTGATTGGTCTGGAGTATATTCATGATAACCTGCAGTGGGGTCAGCTCGTTTTGCTTGTCTCTTGTTATTGATAAAATAGCCAATATGATAAACAAATTCTTGTAGAATAATACAAACAAGCACAAAACCTACTGCAATATAGATTTGAACATAATTATCATTGAACCCTGTACATAATAATCCACTTATTAAAGGTAATAATGCATTTCCTAAACCACCAACACATTCACTAATTCCAACAAACATTGATTTACTTGATTCACTTGCTCTCATTGAATAATATGTTGATGTTTGATATGCAAATCCACCAGCTAAACCACCCAGAAAAGCTAAGAACCAATTAACATATGGTTGAGCAGAAAGACCAAGTGTAATCAAAAACATTAAATACAAGAATTGGAATAATAAGAATAAACTCCTTAAATAAACCCAGAATGTAGAGAAAGACATTACCGACATAACAAGTGTTTGGGCTATAAAATAGCAGAAAAAGAGAATACCGATATACATTTCAACAGGGTTTTGTCCAAATGGAATAGTAATATCTTTGTCTTTAGCTAAAGTTACATATGAATTAGAAAGAATTGCAGAAGTACCATAAACACCGAGTTGCATAATATAACCAAGATAAATATAAGTTTTATTCTTTAAATCAAGAGAATTCCATTTAATTCTTAACTTCTTAAAATCACTTATTTCTTCTTGAGGTTGTTGTATGTCTTTATGTTGTTCTTTTATTTCTTCAACAGACTTTCCTGCATTAATTTGATTTAACATTTCAGTAGGAATTTCTACATCATCAGTTTCATGTTCATTGTGTGGAACCATTGTAACTTCAACATGAACATCTTTAGGCTCTTTTTCTTCTTTTTTGTTTTTATTTTTTAATGCACTTAACTTATCACGAATTCTTTTTGGATGACGGTATGGATAAAGTATCATATTAACTACTACAATACCAATACAAATATACAAGGCATTAGTCCCTAATGCCCCTTTTAACATTCCACCAAATAAAAATCCTAGGGCTTTACCAATTGACCACGAAACCTGATATAGTGAAGTATTTCTATTCTCACAACCTATTGGAGCTTCAAATCCTACTGTTCCTGTAGTTACTGGCCAATAAAAAGCTGTACAAAAAGGCCAAATTGCTACAGAAATATAAAGAACAAAAAACTTCTCTGGGAAAATTAAAATGAGAGCAACTGCAACAACAAAGAAACACATTGCTATCCTAATAACTATAAAAGGATTAAACTTGTCTCCTATTTTACCACAAAAAGGAGATAAAATTGAATAAATAACAAAAGCAACTACTTGTAATAAAGAAAGGTCTAACGTTGAACCACCCATATCAACACATTTTAATGGGACAACAAGCCAATAAAAGTATGAAGCAAAATTAAATAGGAAACCAGTGACACAAGACCTTGGAAAATTAGAAAATATTAATGAGACATATTTTATTACAACGTTCATTGAAACAAAAAGTCCTTTCTTTTTATTAGATTAGTTGCTAATAGTGATAACAGGTCGAGTTAAAAAAGAGAAAATTGAACAGTGTAGATAGATCTTCTCTTTTCTTTCAATGAAACTCTCTCCTTAGAAGGGGATAGAATTGAAAATTTCTTTGAACAAACTAGAAGAATTAATATTTCCTTATCTTTTCATTTGTTCATTCAGATAAAAATGACGTGGTTACATTATTTATTTTATGCCGAGTTTGTAAAAGCAAGTAAATGAAAATAAAATTGAAACAACAAGAAAAAAAAATGTTTCAAATTCTTTTTGCTTCTACATGTTCTACACTCCTTTAATTCATGTTTTTAATTCCTAAGAAATAAAGAACCAGAATTTTAAAGAAAAATTAATTTAACTATATGAATAAAAACAAATATTAAATAACAAAATGATAATTAAAGGAACAAAATTGAAGGAGAAAGAAAAAACGATAATAAATATACAAAAACGAGAAATAAAGATTTGAAAAAATAAAACAAAGTTACTTTAATAGTTATTAAAGAAAGCCAACACAACAAAATCTATTTTAGAAGAGGACAATTTGAGTAGTAGATTAGTTCAATATATATAGCTTACAAAAAAAACAAAAATATCATAAAATAAACTTATTTTTAAGTGAACCCTTCCTAATGAACCAAGATATACAACTTAAAATTCCTACATTTGAGGAAGTGTTCTTATCATTAGAACCAGATATATTATCAGGAGTACTTAAACATTTTTGTAGTAGAGATTTAAGTGAAGAAGAAATTGATGGAAATATGAAAGCAATTTTTTATTTCTTTGTTGTTAATGGTAAAGTATTAGAATTAATGGAATGGGTGTCAATTAAAGAAATTGCAGAAATTCATAATCCAAATTTAATGTTTCAAAGAAATTCTATTTACAATAAAATAATTCGACTTTATATGGACCATGATGTAAAAGATGTTTTTCAAGATAGTATTGAGAAATTATTAGACCAAGTAACAAAGAAAAATATTCAATTAAATCTTTTAGATTCATCAGTTAAATATTCTCAAAGTGATTTAAAGAAAGTTCAAGAAATTTTAGAATCGTTTTTTACAAAGATATTTGATTTAAAATTACCTGAGTTTGTTTATTTTATTAATTATTTTAATATATTTATTAATACTTTATAGTTCTTTTAAATATTTTATGACAACTATTGGTTCTCACATTACTGAAATTTATCCAACAGCTACTGTTAATGTACTTATAAACATTATTTTTAATAGATATATTGGTTCAACTATTGCTACTTCAAAACCTAATAAAAATAGTGATAGAATTATTCCAACATTAAAATCTATTTCATTAATTATGAAATGGATGTTATCTAATGATTTAAAAGAAGATAGTTCATGGCAAGTGTCAATGAAAAATTTTGCTGAAATAATTAAAACAAATGTAGTTAGTTGGATTACAAATAATGTCATTCAAACATTTACTGATAAAAAACCTAAAGTAAAATGGGAAGTTACTGTTAAAATGACTAAAGATATTAAAAATATGGTTTTTAAAGACTCAGAACAAATATGTGCATTGTTACCAGAAACAACTTCACGGTTATTAAGAATTTTAAAAGATGAATATATAAGTTCTACAACATCAATTATGGATTTATTTATGAAATTACAACGAACAATCATTGAACAACAAACTGATATTTTTTCATTATACTCAGAAATTGCTGTATTAAATCAATATAATAAAGAACTTACTGAAAGAGTTCGATACTTTGAATTACGTAAAAGAACTAATAATGATGATGATTATATTTTATTTGATAAAGACATAATAGAATCAACAACTCCAATGCTTAGACTAAATGAAGTACAAAAACAGCCAGAAAATATTACATCAATTAATACAGCAAATAAACAAAAACTTGATGCATATTTTGCAAAAAAACGTGAACAAGAAAAAAATCAATTAAAATTAAAATTAGATTTTAAGAATTCAATTATGGAAACAAAATATATCTCTATTAATAGTCCTTCTTTAACCCAAAGAAAAGGAACTAAACAACCTCAATATATCTCTACTCCTTTCACTAGTCCGAGTTTACCTCTACCTGACTCTAAAACAACAACTCCAAATCAACAAAGTTTGACAAGTAGTAAAATAAGTGAAGATGGATTAGGTGTGTCATTGTTTTATGATCCTTCAAAATGACTTTTATTATTGTATCAAATTACTAAATTTTAATTCATTTTTTCACATCAAAAGAGTTTAATAATTTTTTTTTGTAAATATTTTTCTCCTCTTTGTGTTGGTATTTCGTTATTTATTGTATTTTTATTTTAATTTTTTTTGTAATTTTAAAACATTATTTCCTATTTAACACCATAGAATATTCTTCAAATTTGTTTATTTAAATACTTCAAAAAATATATTTGATAAATTTAATAAAGAATATAATTCCAATGGATAAATGTTGATACAATAATATTACTCAATTTAATAACATAATATCAATAAAAATATATCCATGAATTTAATTAATGGCACTCAAATAACAATACATAATGCATTACGATAATAATAATACATCTTAACATATGTAGTATTATTGGGATTATAATAAATGTATTAAATACTATAATTTCATTATAAATATATAATTCAATATAAAAATAATATGAACATTAACAAATTATGCAGAAATAATGAATATATTGAATTTAATATGATAATAGTTGATTTATTGGATGTTTAAAAATTAAATTAAATTAAATAAAAAATAAAGAATAATAAATGGAAATATAATAAATGAATTATGAAATAAAATATTCAATTTTTAGTTTATTTCAATTCATTAGTTTTTGTACATTTTCTTTATACATTTCAAATTTAGTAAACTTACTATTATCAACTCTTACAAATCTGTTTGTGTTTTAAATCAATTCTTTATATTTGTATTGTTTACTTCTTATATTTGTTATAATGTATTATGGATATTTAATTAAAATAACATTAATGATGATGAATAAATAATATTTGAAATGAAATAAAATAAATCAACATTGAATTATCTCCATTTGATATTCACCATTTCATTCATTGGCAGATAAACGAAATATTCATATTCTTCATTGATTTGTTTTTTATTCTTTTTTAGTTCATTTTCATTTAATCAAGATTGAATCATTTCATTTCAATTACTATGATTCGTTTTGGTGTGAAACAATTTGGACGTTCATTTCCACAAAATGCATTTTCAATTCCTTTATATTCAAATGATTGTTGTTTACAACATGAATTTCTTTTATTATTTTCTTTATAGACACGAATATCACAATACCCAAATTCAAACAAACAATTAAGTGTTTGGTTAAATAAAATAAATGCATATTGTGGTTGTTTAATATCAAATTTTTTCATTTCTTCCTTTTGGTTCTAATGAAAATACAAATGATTTTGAATCATTTATAAAACCATATTTATCAATTTTCTCATTAGCATATCCTCCAAATTTATTTCCTTTTGAATATTCAATAATAATTATTATATTTTCTTTATTCATTATTCTTTGTTTAAATATTGATATATTTCTATCCCAATCATCTTTATCTGAATCAAATAACTTATATCCTACTTTTCTATTTGTCCATTCTTCTAGTTGTTCAAACAACACTGCTTCCATTTTATTTAATTTGATGTTTATAAGTTCAAAATATGATTGTTTAAATATTTAAATACATGTTATTAACACATCAAATTAACTATTATTTTTATCATCATTCTACTTTAAACAAACATCATTCATTTTATTTTTACAATAACAATAATTATATAATAATTATATAATATTTACTTAGACATTGTTTTTGTATTACACTTTCAATATGAATACTTCAGAAATGAGTTTATAATAAAGAAAAACATAGTGTGGATATTTAAATAACACCATTCATTATTTGAAACTTCAATTAGGAATATTCCATAATCTTTTATTTACAACTATTAACATTGTTCTATGCATATATTTCAACTCAGTCAATACTTTAATAAAAAAACAATTGTTTTTGATAGCAGTGTTATTGCAATTTTAATTCCAGTCATTTCATATATTTGATCAATCATTATTTTAATGGTGATTTGACTTGATATTAATTTTCAAGAGAATATGTTATACTGTTTAATGTATCAGATATTTCAAACAGAGAGATAAAACTATAAAACAATTTATCACATGCTTATCACATATTTCTATTATCTTTCATTAAATAACTATCAATAATACCATGTTTATTAATTAAACTACTTTATTAATTAATAATGTTCTTTCGTTTTACAGTTGTTCAATTTAAATATAACATATTGTTCAATTCTCAACTAAATATAACTTGTTTAAAATATTATATATTTAATATGGTTGTAAAAAAAAACACTTTTAATTTCAATGTCATACACGCAATTCACTTTTCTTTTTTTTTCTTTCATTACAAGTTATTAATGTATTATTTTACCAGTTCATTTTTGTTTTGATAGTATATTAATTACTAACACACAAAATTAATAAATTAAAATATGTAATTTCAAAATAATGTTTATAAATGGTTAAATTTTATTAAACATTTGTTATTTTATTGTTTTGTTTAAATTATTTTCAAATACTCTACATATTAGTTTTGATTGGATCACTTTGTTTCAATTAACAAAATTTATACATAATATTTATATGAAGTATATTCAAGAAAGATGGTAAAAATAAATTCTTTTTTCCAACTTGTGTTATTAATAAGTTTTAAACGATGTTTTAATAAAAAAAAATTGAAAGTAGACATAACCAATTAATGGGTTAATACTTTATTTATAATTAGAAACTTGATTATTATTAGAACTACCATTTACAGTTTTTGTTTAGAAAAATATACTTATCAAAAAATTTTTCTCATTCTATACTTTGCAATAAAAAAAACAGAGGATTAACAAATAGATAGAAGTTGTGTTAAAGAGAAAGGATTTTATAATGCCTTTTTCTTATTGAAAACTAATCAGACGAAATAATAAAAAATTGATTAAAAACAGACAAAACAATAGTTAATTTTAAATGTTCTAATGAAAAATAAAAAACAAAAAATAATTGAACTATTTATTTGTTATTATTTAAATGAGTCAATACAAAACTAACAATGGAAAGAGTAATGAGTTGTGTCAATTAGAAAAGATGTTTAGTAGAATACAAGAACAATCAACATCATATAATGTTGAGTTAATTTTGTATTTAGTTGAAAAAACTAAAGATGGTGTTTGTTAAATACGTTAATCAATATGTTTCTCAACACACTTACGCTTTGTAGCCTGTTCAAATAATGAGGGCGTTTGACTACTTTTTTAGAAGTACTTCTCAAAAACTATTCATAATGAAGATTCATTTAATTGATGCTCTTATTCGTTTTATTCGTAAAAAAGAATTACAATATTCTTTTTATTGTATGTCACGTGCTACAATGACTGCACTTTGTAGAAATAATTATGACCTTACACGAGAAGACATTGTTTGTTTCACTACACATTTTCATAAATCAGTATAATGGAATTAATAATTAGGATGCAGCACATCAGTTATTTATTCTATGGGAGTCAAGAAAAATTCATGTTAAATTCCTTCAAATGTGGCAGTCATTACTTGAGCATCCTGAAAGAGACAGTTATATTTCATTCTTAACTAACCAAATTTTATTTATCCCTCTACCAAATGAAAATAGAGAATTACTCGTTAATGAGATTGAAAGTAACTTTGACTCTTGTGCAGCTTCACTCGATGGAGACAAAATTAGTATTGTTGCTGACACCAACCAAGACACTAACTATATAATTAATTGGCTTAAACAACGGTATAACTCAAATTACACAGACAACATTTATGATCCATCACACTCTAAAGCAATAATCAGATTTCAAAATGAAGACTGGATGCCATATGACACGTTTTCTTTTGGATCAGGATTTGTTACAATGAATAAAAATGATATTCCACCTAAATTTGTAGTAGATGGAGTTACATACTATCTTCATCTCAAAAGAAGGTCAAGAAGTTGTTCAAGAAGACGTTCCTTTTCAAGAAGTTCATCTTCAAGCAATAGAAACTCTTTCAGATCACCTTACCATTCACCTACAAGAAGACCATCACCACTACCTTTTGAATATAGAGAATCATATAGGTCTTCTCTTGATATAGATCGTCGTTCTTTTTCAAGAGATCGGTCAAGAAGTCGTTCCTCAAATATTTTGTATAGAAATTCATTCAAAAATGATTCTCCAGAAAGAAGGACGTCAAATTCTAGAAGAAGATCATTTAGTCCAAGACAAAGTAGGTCATATAATAATAGGTCGAACTCAAGAAGTAGAAATTATAGATTAGATCATTCTAATCCTAACCATTCTCCAAGATAGTCAACTCATAAAATAAACTTTTTATTTCTGATTTTTCTTTACTAACAATTTTTGTTTGACAAAGTAATTACTTTTTTATGAACTATATAAAACCAATGAATTACATTACTTCATGTATAACTCGTAAAAATTCTGGTATTGAAGAAACCAGAGCTATTGAAATTATTAAAAATGGAGAGTATGGATTTATGGCAATGATTGATGATGAAAATAATAGTGGTTATGGTGTACCAATTAATTATGCATTTGATGGTGTTCAAAACCTTTATTTTCATGGAGGAAATGGAAAAAAAATTAATATTTTAAAGAAAAATCCTAAAGTCTCTTTTACTATTGTTGGGAAGACTTTGATAGTTCCAGAACAATTTACTGATCACTATGAGAGTGTAATGTGTTTTGGAACTATTTGTTTTGATTTAAGCAAAGAAGAAAAAATAAAAGGAATGGAATTAATTATTGATAAATATTCTTCTGAGTATAAAGAAAAGGGAATGAAAATGGTTGCTTCTGCAATAGACAAAATGAGTGTGTACAAATTGGTTATTAACTCATTTTCAGGAAAGGTTAATAAATAAAGTGTAATAAAACTCTTTTTATTAAAATAATTTGTTTGAGAAAAATAACAAAAAATGAATGTATTAAATAACACAAAATTTACAACAATCTTTTCTTATAACATATTTTATTTTAACTATAATTAAAAAATATTGTTTTTATTTTTATTAATCTAACAAAAAAGAAAAATAAAGTAATTATTATAAAACTATTCTTTTATCAATTAGATTAAACAGTATTAATATAATTTAAATCAAGTAAAGAATAAAGAAAATATTATAAGTTAAAATTCAAATATAATAAATGTTAAATCTTTCTAATTTTAGTATAATACAAAATAAATCTAAAGAAATAATCAATTTTATCAAGACAAATTCTAATAAAATTATTTGAATTTTTAAAATAAAAATAAAATCATTGATGAAAAAGTTATGTTGATTTGTAATTTTATTAAGATTTATTATTTAACTTTTATTTAAAATAAAATTAGACATAACTAAAATAATACTTTTGGTTATTAAGAAGACTTAGATTATATTAAATACTTCCAATGATACATTGATTAATTCTTATTATAACTGTTCTATTTTTTTATGAAAATATTCTCCTTTTTAACTTATTTTATTTTTTATATAAAATGTTTTATAATTTAAAAAGAAAATAGACATACTTTTAATATGTTAGAGAAGATTTTATATATATCTTTATTACCTCTATTATTTTTGAAATTTTCAATTCAATTAATTGTTAAGTTATAAATATGAAAATATCATTTATTTTAGATAATAACATTTAATTCTGTTTGAAGTTAAGGCAATTTTTATTATTACTTTAAAGTATTAAACAAAATACTTTTTATAAATTCATTAACTTAATGATAAACACCCATTCACTAAAAAGCTTTTTTAAAAGGAATATTTATGACCATTCCAAAACTAAACCAACTAAATTATTGTTCTTAAGAATAAACCAAGGTTTTTAATTTTGAAGATGTCCTTTGTTTTTTATTTCGACTTTTTGTTAATCATTTTTATTTTATGTTATACTAAATTCAATATCTTTTTCTTCATTTAATCATTTTATAGGCAAACATGATGAAAATAGTTTTTGAATCAAAAATAATGAGAAGTGATATTAACCATTAAAAGTGACAAAAGACAAAAATCAAACATTTATAGTTTTTATAAAATAAAGAAAATTATAATAAATAGAATAGATTTATAATGTGATAAAAAACCCAAAAAAATAGGTAAAAAGTATGGAATAAAAAATAATAATAAAAGAAAAGAACTCAAAAATAACAAAGGTAACAATAAAAGTAAAAAAATAATAGGACCAAAAAGAATAAAATTATGGGAAAATAGAGAAAAAATAGAGTAACTATAAATAAAAAAATATAACTAAAAAACATGATTTGTAAATAATGTCGAACCCTCACAGTATTATTCCTAGACCACGATCATCACCATCTCAAGACGATTCACCTACACCAAATATTGCAGAATATATCAAATCAATTCCTTCATGGTCACCTGAAGAACAAATAATATTAGAAGATAATATGAAACGATATCCTGCTTCACAAAATGCTGAATTTAAACGACTGACATTATTAATGACAAATTTACCTAATAAACGATTAAGAGATGTTTCATTACGTGTAAAATATATGAAAGCAAAAGAAAAACAAGATATTAGTTGGGAAAGTTTTCTTCATTCTTCTTTCGGTCAACAAAGGGTTGAAGTATCTCCTTCTCATTCTATTAAATCTCCTCGTGCTACTTCTACAGATCGTGAAGAAGAACCTAAACGAGAAAGAAGAACTCCTTTACGTATAAAACGTGACGATGAAGACCTCTCAGTTTCAAGTAATTCAAATCAAGTTTCTTCCGTTGGTTCTTCAACACTTAATGGAAGGGAAAAAGATGGTAATTCAATGTCAATATCTTCTAATGTTACTCCAACTCCTTTAGTATCTAATCCACCTCCTGTTTTACAGTCTCAAGTCCCAATTGCTCCACAACTTCGTGTTCAATTCTCAAATAATATAATTACACAATGTAGTCCTTCACCATATGCAAGACCTCCAGTATATTCTCAAGGTACCTATTCATCTTCTTCATTAGGAAGAGCACCACCAATTATGTATCAAACACGTGATAGAGGATATACACAAGATGACCAAATTTGTGAACAACTTATCGCTGACAATGAACGATGTTTAGAAATTATTACTAATACAGTATTGCAAAAACGATCTGATTTTGGTGATACTACTACTGTATTTAATTCCAATGTTAATAAATTACTTCAACTTACAGGAACTATGACTGCAAATTTACCTTTATTTTATTTCGCACCAACTAATATTAACATACCTAAATTTAAAAAAGTTAATTTACCACCACAAGATCCATCTGTTCGTCCACCCCAACAGTATGGATTAGATTTCCAAATACAAAAACAAACTCCTAGAGAAATTTCTATTGATAGTAGAAGAACTGAGCTAATGTAATTGGCTAAACTTATCATTCCCACTTTATATCCTAAACCCCCCTTTTGTCATTGTTTTGATTTAAGTTTTATTGTTTAACTTGTTAGTTTAATTTTTATCGTTGTTCATTGATAATAACAACAATAAAAAAACAAATTAATTATTAAGACCATTGTATAGCTAATACTTTATCTATGTTAAACTCATTTTCTCCAGTAAATAAGGTTGTTCCTTTTTTTGTAATATCTTTATATTCTTTTGTGAATAATTTACTTATAAAGTGTGATTTTGCTGTTTCATTTGTTATTCTCATAAATCGTTTTACAGTAAATGCATAAACTCTACAACTTGAACACCATATACATAATGATTTTCCTTTCTTCTTTCTTTGAATCATTACTGGTTGTTTTAATTTTTTTGAATGTAATGAAAATACAAAGAAGTCTTTATCATTTTTAATATATTTATATCCTTTCTTAGGTGCTTTAGGAATTTGTTTTCTATTGAAACAACCAAATGAATATCCTTCTTTTGTAATAACTAGTATCATTATATTATTTTTTTCTTCAACTTTATTATTAAATGACATAGCAGAAAGTCCATCTTTCGAGCTATTATATACTATTGAATAATGAGTCATTCTAATCCAATGATTAAATGTATCTTTATACTCTTCAATTATCTTAATTTCATTATTTCTTTCTTCTTCTTCTTTACATTGTTTTTCTGATGTATTTGTTTGATGATCATTTTCTGATGTATTAAGAGGTGTTTCTGTTTTTATTGGATCATTTACTAGTTCTGTCTTTATACTTTCTTCTTCTTTTTCATTAGTTGATGGTTTTTCTTCTTCATAACCTGGTTCTTTTATTAGGTCGTTTGGTCTTCCAACAATAATAAGTCTCTTATGAATTTCTGTATTATTTTCTTCTTTTCTTTCACTAGATAATATAAAAGAATTACTATTTGATGTTTCACTTTTTTCATCTTCAATACTTTTAATTGCCTCTTCTTGTATTTCTTCAACAACAATTTCATTTTGAATATCTTCTTGGTTATTGTCTTCTTGAATTTTTGGTGTTGTATTCCTTTCAATTATTTCTTCTTGTTCAACAGACTCCTTTAACTTTTCTGTAGTACCTTCTTGTATATTTTCTAGTTCATTTTTTTGTCTTTCAACTTCACTCCCTTGACTTTCTTTATTTTCTGATTCACTTTTGGTTATACTACTATGCAATGATTCTTTGTCAAAGGTATTTATAATTTCTTCTTGACTATTGTCATCAGTTGAAAGTATTGGTGTCTTAATTAATAGCAATTCTTTTTCTGATTGACTTTCACTTGATGAAGTATGAATACAAGAAGATAATGGTTGTGATTTATCTTCTAACTCTTCTTCAGTAATATTGTTCATATTCTTTTCTTCTTCTTTCAATTGAATTTTTTCTTCATTAATTACTTCAGCATGTCCTTTTTGATTCTCTTTTTCTTCTTCAGTTTTATTTTCTTCTTCTGTTTCATGTTCTTCTTCTGTTTCATGTTCTTCTTCTGTTATTTTGTTTTCATACTCTTCTTCTAGCTTATAATCATTTTCTATTATAACATCTTCAGTTTGGTTATTTTCTTCGGCTCTCTTTTCCTCTTCTTTATTTATATCGTATAATTCTTTAATGTCTTTTTGTTCTTCTACAACTTGTAATTCTTCTACTTTTTGTTTTTCTAATTCAACTGAGGTTTCTGTACTTTCATCAGAAAAAGATTCATTTGTAGAAGTTTTACTTTCTATTTCCTTAATTTCTAATACAGGCTTTTCTTCTTCTTCTGGTAATGGGGGAGTAACAATACTCGTTTTAATTTCTGGATTTACCTTGACTGGAACCCAATGACTTTCATCAAAAACACCTTCAGAACGTAATTTGATTTTACGTTCTTCAAATTTCTCTGTCATTATTTGATTAATATCAGGTTTATTAAATCTGTACTTCTCTATTTCTTCTTTTTTACAATAAATTAAAGCAACTTGAAGCATCATTGCAAATTCATCTTTTCCTAAATTCTGTTCTTGAATTACTTGAGTAATTCCAAATTGAGAAAATAACTCAAATGGATGGTCATCAGCAAAAATAAATTTCATAGCATATCCATCTCTCCAATCTGTTTTAAAATTTTGGATTGGCAATTGAGTCATTTCTTTAACCCATTCATTAACGCTTTTCATATGAACTCTTCCTAAAGGTACAAATTTTGTTGCAATAGAAATAAAAAAAGATAACAACATCTTTTCATTATGATTAATAATATGACTAACTTCAATTGAATCACATCTTAAATGTAAACTTTTCCCAAATTCTAGTGCTTTTTCTGCAATTTCCATTTGGTCAAATTTTGTTCTGACAACTTTAGCCCGTGTAGTTTGATATTTTACAGATGATACCTTCTCTAAAAATTTAATTATATCAAACCCATTAATTTCATTAAGAAGAGTCTTTTTCTCCATCACTGACTCAACCCATTTTTCAATAGCCTCTTTTTGTATTTCAACCCAACTACTCATTCTTTTTATTATTTTCAGTCTTCAAGTTAAAATTTTTTTTATGTGATTCTTTTTTTAGATACCAATAATTTTGAATGTTATAAATAGAAGTTATAATTTTTAATATATTTCAGTATTTTCTTTTTATTGTAGTACTTTTCCGATTTTTTTAGTATATGAAAACGTTACGTGAGCTATTTTAAAAAATAACAAATTCGATTATTTCTTATTTCTTTTTTTTTTTTTTTTTATGTCTTATGTCTTTTAGACTTAGGTTTTGAGAATAACAACTAATTTGAAGTAAGAAAAACAATGTGGTTACATAACTTTGAACAAAAGCAAAGTCAACCACATATGAAACTATTTTCTTAAAATAAAATATTATTTTTTTTTTGGTTTTTAGTATCAAAAATACATTTATTTTGAACCAAATTACTCCAGATTTATATTGAATTTTTATTATTAATTTTTTAAACATCATTATTTACATCAACTTCGTTTATAATTAATTTTCCCTGTTTTATCTAATAATTTCTTTTTTAGAACAATCATAAATTTTGATATATATTACAACAATTAAATACTATAATTTAATAAAATAAAAATTAATAAATTAATAAATGAAAGAAAGAAGAAAAAAAGAATAAAAATTTCAAAGAATATAAATTCTTATTCACTAAAACAATAGATGTTACTATTCCTCTTATTGCTTGTTTGTGTGTTTGCTGACAAATATTATGTTGTTGATGAAATACAATCATTCACTTATTTCCCCATCAATACATGCACATATTATAATGAAAGATATTATGAATATTTGTTTAATGAATCAACATTGGTACTATCCATTGGTACTTATACCGATAAGTCATGCACTATCAAAATAGAAAACAAACACAAAATAATTGAAGCAAATCAAATCACTGAATCATTTAACAATTCCCTTCAATACATTCACATCCCTTCATCCGAATGTACAAATGATTTTAAATTAGAAAGAATGACAGGATATACAGTGACTGTATTTAAGAATTATTGTGTTGAAAATGGAACAGAAGGAACAGTTGTATCAACACTTCTTATAGATAACACTAACACATATGTTGGATTTGCACATGAAATGAATAATAACAAAGAGTGTGAAACATACACTGAATACAATATAATATCAGAAGTTGGATGTGATAGAAAACATAATAGATATTACGTCAATACAACTATCTGTTCAGAAGGAGAAATGTTTAATGGAGAAAAATGTATTTGTAATTCATATGAAAATTACCAATTAGAAGAAGAAGAATGTGTATTAAAAGTCGAAGAAGATAAAGTAAAAGCAAGCCAATTAGTTCCAGCATTAATAGTAGTGATAGTTTCTGGATTAATATTTATTGGACTTGTTGTTTTTGCAACAATAAAAAAGATTCTTCACAGAAATGAGTAATTATTCTCTAACAATCAAAAAATAATGAATTGAAGTTTTTGAATTAAAAAACGTTTGTTTAATCATCGCTATCATAGTCTTCTTCTAGACCAGCCATCATTACTCCATCTCTTCTTATATCAAAACTCATTCCTCGTTCAGCTTTTTTTCTCTCTTCTTCTTCTTTATTTAATTTATTTTTATATTGAAGTTTTAAATCCTGATAATTTATGATATTATTAGAGATGACAGTAGTAGTGTGAATGAGTTGCATCATAAGTACAGTCAATTTGGCATCATTACTTTCTTGATTAAATTCTTCTCTAAATACAGAATTATCACTGACTGGAATAGAAGAACAAATTTGTGCAATTTTAGCAAGAATATGATTATCTGCTTGAATAGTTCCATTTTCAACTCCTTTTAAATATTTAACTAGAATATCAACTTTCTTTTTTAATGTTTCTATAGCATGACTTATTCCTTCTTTTTCCTTTTTATCAGTTTCTACTGAACTTCCTGCATTGATCATCTCATTAATACCAATACGTTCAACATCAACAGACGCAATATGATAACTGCATGGTACAAATAATTCATTTCTTAATACAAAAAATGTAATTGGAATTTTGTCTGTTTCTTTTTGATAGCATTTACTAATATTTAATATCAAAAATAATCCATTCTTATTCTCACCAACAATTTGACTATGTAATTCAATATCACTGGCGAGTGGTTCTCCATTAGCCATTCCAGCATACCACCCAACTACTTTATATTCTTTGTTTACTTCTGAATTTAGTTTAACTCCTTCACTCATTTTAGTTATTAGTTGACTCTCTGGAATTTCAAATGATGTTCGTACAATAATTTCTTCTTCATTTTCAATTCCAAGTAATATACCTACACTTCTTTCAGGTTTATTTGTTCCACAATTAATTGTTTTATGTGTGGCACTTTGAGTAATAGAAATTAATGCAAGAGGATGCAATACAACTTCTGGTGTTGTCATTAAATTTTATAAGTTCAAGTTCATTTTTTCTTTTACTGAGACTGAGGTTTAACTCATTTTGAATTTGTTATATAAAACGAAAATAATAATAAGATTATGATGAACTAAAAATAAAAAAATAATTATGAAAAAATTCAAAAAGGAAGAATAAAAACGAAATAGAAATCTTTAAAATCAAAGAAACTAGAAAATTGAAAGAAATGGAAGAGTATAACCAAGCACAATCCCTTTTACAACAACAAAATGATATGTTGGATGAGGCGCTTGTCATTGGAAGAGAGAATGAACAAATTGGAGCTGAGACTCATCAAATGCTCGTCCAACAAGGGGAACAATTAAGAGGAGTGAATAACAAAGTTTATTAATTATTTTTATGAAGTGAAATAATGTTATTTAATGCATTATTTACATATTTCTAAAGGAACAAAAGTTTATTAGTTAGTTGGATAACATTGAGTCAAATGTAACTATTGCAGACAGCAAATTAAAGAGAATGACTTTTAGATTGATCACAGATAAATTTGTTCAAATTGGAATAATTGCTTTATTAATTATTGCTATTCTTTTAGTAATCTTTATTAAGTGGATTTTACCTCTTATCTAAATGACTTTGTGTTTTTTAAATTAATTCATTATCTTTTTCAAGTACAAATAAAATTAATTTTAGCAATAAATCAAAGACATAATTAATTGTTGTTACTCTTTTTGTTTATCATCCAAATGAATTACATGTGATTTTTCATTCATCACTTTTGATTTAATTTGAGAGTTCCTATGACTTGTTTCTTCTGAAGTTGGAAGAGCTGGTTTTTTAAGATGTGATTCTTCTTCTTTTTGAAAATTAGTATCTTTAACTGGTATAGAAGAGGTTATAGTGGTGAGATTTATTGTTGGTTGACTAGGAGTTTTTTCATTAACATTTGTTGGTTGTGCAACAGTACCACCTTTTTTAGATAACTTGGAGATACCACCAACAATGGTTTGACTAGCATTAGACATTGAATCTTCTTTCCTTTTCTTTTCTTCTCGGTATTGCCTGGCTTGAATCCTTCTTTTTTCTTTCTTTTCTTCTTCCTTTTTAAGTTCTTCTTCAGTCAAATTTTTGACTGGAACACATTTAAATGGTTGATTAGCTTTGTAATGGGGAACAGGGTCAGTTCCAGTATCATCAATGAATGGGTCGTCCGTGATATAACCAAATCCTTTTTTTGATTTTCCAACAAATAGACGTTGTTGAATTCTTCCTAAAACAGAAGAATATTGATTTTCTCTTAACAACTCACGTTGCTGTGCTTCTTTCTTTGCCTTTTCAATTGTTTCATCATCTACAATTCCACTATCTGCCTTTTCATCCATTTTCTCATCTTCTGATTCATCCTTTTCAAGGTCAACCTCTTCATTTTCTTCTTCTTCATCTTCAATCATTAATGAATTTATCGCATCTCCATATTTCTCTTTTGCCTGTTCGTTTAAAAAGATTTGAAAATTAGGCCAAAGGTCAATCTGTCTATCTTCAGGTATCTTAAATTCTTCGGTATAAACACGGGGATCCAATAATTGAAGATCATCTAGAGGTGGCATCTCAGAATCATTTTCAGTGTCTGTTTCATTTCCATTACTTTTAAACACCTCTTCCATTGAATTTTTGGAAATAAAAGAAATTGAGATTGTATTTCTTTTAGCTTAAAAACTTTGGTTTTTTATTTTTGTAGATTTGGTCATTCATTTTAGCATTGATAATTCTATCATACGCTAGCTACTCATCATACCCAAATGTAAAATACTTTATTTATTAGACCTTAATTAAATTCTCAATAATGAAAAAAAATACCATAAAATAAGTTGTGAAAAAGTTCATTTAGACTTAATCTTCAATCTTTTTAGAACATAATCTTTAAATTCATTCTATCTAATCAAAACCATTTTGTTTAAACTTTATTGTATAGTCTAATAGAAGAGATACTATTTTTTTTTTTTAATTAATAACTCTATAACTTGATTATTTATTCATTTTTCTAAACTCAAAAATTTAGTAAAAGTACATCAAATTATACCACATTATTCTGTATATAGAAACTCACTAAAAATCCTTTTTGTATATTGATTTTGAATATAATTTTCAACACAAGAAAATGATTTATTAAAATAAAAGATAAAACACAATGGTTGTCTCAACTCATTAATATTTTTATTTTGTAAATGATAGTAAAGAAACAACGTTATGGTAATATGTCATTCAAAGCTTTTGGTATTAGTAAATTGTTTGTGATTTGTAATTATTTAAGTTAAACAAAGACAAGAATATGTTTTAATAGAATAAAATAAGAATGAAACACACATACTTTTCTAGTTCAGAAAAAAATCAATTTATTGAGCGGCTTGTTGTTGTGCTTGGGCAGGAGCTTGAGCACCTGGTTGTCCCATGAACATTTGGAAGAGCATCATAAGACCCATCATAATAAACATTTGATATTTTTGGAAGAAAGTACGCTTGTCAACAAATGTTTTTTCACCAATATATCTGGTAACAATAACCTTTCCTTCTTCATCTTTTTGGTATGTAGTAATTGAAGCAATAAGAGCATCAGTTCTTGGAATATAAGCAGTGTATGAAATATTTCTGAATGTACCTTCTGCAATATACATATCTGAAACATTATGGAAATTCATGGTAATAAAAAGTTTATCTTCTTGGACTTCATCACCTATCATTTGGACTTCAATAGTACTACCATCATAGATAGATATTTGATAATATTTCTCATTATCATCATCAATAATAACATCAAGCATATCAGCAACATCAGTTCTAGCTGTAATATTCATTGCAACTAATGGTTCTCGTTCTTCAATTTCACTTTCATTATCTTCAGAATTATCAGAGTTATCAGAAATTGTTGTTTCAACTTGGTAAAATTTCCATTCTCCAGAAAGATATTCTTTCATTTCGTTTGGTTGGTTATCTGCATTAACAATAAAAACAAGAGCCAAGAAGAATAAAACCTTCATTAATTGTTTTTAGTTCTATTTTCTTAATTTTCTTTTTTTGATAAAACAAATTTATCTTCTTGTTCCTCCTCCATTTAACATGATAATCTCACTCTTTTTCTGTAAGAAAAACACTTTATTTTTATTTATCTATAATTCATAGTTCTATTATTATTTAACAATACTATTCTTCTTTACTTATAATTCACCAATTCTTTCGGGTAATATCCATCAATTTGTATTTGGTGATTTATTTTTTTATTTGAAAAACAAAAAAAAAGAAAAACATAATAGAAGGAAAAAAACAAAAAAGATTAATATAAGAATTTAAAGATCAATAAAAGTTTCGAGAAGAAAAGATAAGAAGAAAAACTTTGAGATTTGTAACCACGTGGGAGTAGAAAGAATAACTGAAGAATAATTTTGGTTTTTTTTTGAGAAAATGGATATTTGTTCCAACAAAATTCAACTAACAGAAAGTAAGACACAAAAAGAGTTGAAACTAGAGAACTTTTAAAATAAAATAAACAAAGGAGAATAAAATATGGTAAGAAAAGCATGTCAAAAATTGATTAATGAAAATGACAATAAAACAATTATTGAAATATATGAAGAGTTAATTTCAAAAATACAAGACAAAGAAAAAGGACAAAGTAGAAAATCAAAGTGTATTGAAGAAAATATTTGTCAAACGTTAATGAAAAATATTCAATCTGGAGATTCAGAAGTTGTCCATTCATCAGGAAAATTTTTAAGAGCATTATTAACTAATTGTCATATTGCACAAGAAGCAGCTATTAAAGCAGGACTTGGAGTTGTTGTTTCAAGTCAATTAGTTAAATATAATGATATTGCAGAAATTTCAGGAGTACTTTCTGGGTCTATTTGGGGTATGGCTAATAATGAAGATAAAAATGGATTAATATCTAAAACAACAGTAGATGGATTATGTGGGTGTTTAGATAATACTAATATTTTTGCAGTAACATCAGCAGTTGGAGCATTGTTAACACTTGCTGAAGATGACCAATTTGTTCATTTAATAGAAAAAAGTGATATAATGAAAAAAATAGTTAAAGTAATTCAAATGGGAGAAGAAGATGAAACATTAGCACGATTAATTGGAGGATTTCTTTGTAATGCAGCAGGAGAAAAAGAAACACAAGTTCAATTTAATGAAGCAGGAGGAATTGAAGCATTATTTAAATTATTAGAGAAACAAGAAAATAATTTAACAGTTGTTGCCCGTATTATGAGTGGTATTAGAGCATTATCAAATGAAGATGAAGGAGTTTTAGAAAAATTAATTGAAAATAGTTCAAGATTTATTTCTATTGGAAAGAAACATCCAAATGAAGAAATTATAATTCCAATGCTTGGAATATTCTTTAATTTCTCACAAACAGATTCTAAAGAAGTTGAAGTTCATCAAAAATGCAGTGAAATAGTTAGTAATTATACTAATATTTCTAAAGAAGGAGCAAGATTAGCATTAGGATATTATATGAATTTATCAACATGTGAAGAAGTTGCAGAAGATATGGCAGAAAATCAAAAAATTATTAATGAAGTAAAAAAAGCAATGGATCAAAATGAAGATGAAGATAAAATTATTTCAAGAGGATGTGGATTTTTACAAAATATTAGTGATTTTGAAGAAGGAAGAAAAGCAATTTTAGAACAAGGTATTACAAAGAATTTAATTGAAGGATTTAAAAAAAATAGAGAGGAAGAAGAAGTTGTTAAGTCATGTTTAAGTGCAATTACTAATATGTCACAAGCTGATGAATTAGCTATAGAAGTAGTAAAAGAAGGAGGAGCAAAAGAAATTGATCATGTATTAGATGATAATAAAGATGAAGAATTAGTTAGATTAGCATTAATTTGTGTAATTAATATTTCTTCAAGTGATAATGTTGAAGAATATATTGATAAAGATTGGTGTAAACATATTATTGAAGATTTAGATAAATTTAAAAAACCAATTATTAAAGAAAAAGCAATTACTGCTATTTCAGGATTAGCAACTATGGAAGGATTAAAGAAAGAATTAATTGAAAATGATGTTATTACTGCATTAGCAAAATATTTCCATGTTTCAGAAGTAACTCAAATAAAAGCATTAAATACATTATTTGCATTAAGTTCTGAAGCAGAAGTACCAAAGAAAATTGTTGAAGCACATTTATTATCTAGTGCAGCACAAACAATTAATATTTCAGTATGTTCAGAAAATTTCTGTGGATTAATTGCTAATTGTGCTAAAGACCAAAGTATTCATTATGAATTACTTCCATTTGTTCAAGACATTCTTACTATTATTAAAAGTAAAAAAACAGAAAAGGCTGTTATGTTTGGATTAAATGTACTTATTAATTTATGTTCAAATAAAGAAACAAGAGAAGCATTAAGAACAAAAGAAATTGTTAATGTTATTGTTAAATCAATTAGTTCATTTAAACCAACAAAATCAATTGTTCTTTCTGGATATAGTGCATTAGGAAATGCATCAATTGATGAAGAAATTAAGAAAGAATTAGATAAGAATTTAGCATTTGAAACAACACAACAAATAGTTAAATTATATAAAAATGATGATGTTGTTCTTGAAAAAGTAGTTAATTTCATTGCAGCAGCATGTAATCATTCAGTAGAAAATAAGAAATTAGTTAATGAAAAACTAGGAACAACTCTTGAAGAAATGAAAGGATTTGTTAAAAATGGAAAAACAAAAGAAATTATTGAAAAGATTCAAAAAGCAATTAAACAAAATTCTTGAATTTAGAAGAAGAAAGATTTGATAATTGAGAGAGTTTCAAATTTACATTTAAATCTTAGGAATAAAAAAACACAAAATAAAAAATATTAATTATTGTTTTTTTTTTTTAATAAAATAAAAGAATAAAAAGAAAATAGAACTTAGAAATAAATAAAGAAAGTGAATAAGATGGAACATAGTAAATGGATTGGTCAAATAGTTGATAAAAATATCTATAATAAACTTGCCCAATTAAGGAGTGAAAATATTAGACAAGAATTAGATAAAACATATATTAAAAAAATAGTTCCAGGCAGTTCAAATTTAAGTATATGTCAAAAAATATCATTACAAATGAAAAATATTAATTCAAAAAATATTGAAATATTAAAACAAGAAGTTAGTAAATATAATTGTAAAAGATATTTACAAGAATATATTTCAAATATGATGCAAAATTTATTTGAAGATGGACATTCAATAATAAATTATGTAGATTTATGTTGTTTATTTTCACAATATTATGAAAATGATTTTTGTAAAGAATTAAATGAAATACTTATACAAAATTCTAATCTGATTAAAAAATCATTTGGATATTATATATTTATTGTAGAATTATTTCTTGTTTCATTACCTATGAAAGGACATATTTTAAAACAACAATTTATTGATGGATTAACATTTTATTTACAAAGTCAATCTAAAGAAGAAATAACTATTACAACTAAAATGTATATTCCAGAAATAATTTATTTATTAAATTTAATAGGTTCGGTATTTACAACAATTCATTTTTCTTCTCCAAATCTTCAAGAATCATTAAATCAAATTTCATGTGAAGATCAAATAATTAAAGAAAAGATTTGTATTTTAATTGGAAAAAGAGATAAATTTACAGATTTATTCACTGAATATAAAAAAAGAGTTGATAAATATTGTAGTATTGGAGGAATTCAAGAAAATCAAGAACTTATTAATACATTATTCCTTCAAATGGGATATAATATGAATTATACTGAATCTAAAGAAGAACCTCAATCTAAAAATTTATGTAATTTATATGATGATAATGAAACAAGAGAGTTTTATACTGTTTTTCCATCATTTTCTGATATTAAGCCACAACCCTTAAAAGCTCATACTGATATAAAAATTAAATTTAAGAAATATATTGAATTCTTAAAACAAATAGAAGATGAAAAACAAGTTATTTCTGCTGTAAGAGATTTTTTAACAACGTATAAATATTTTGTTTTTAAAACAATTACTATTAAAACGTTTTTACATCAATTAATATCTAAAATTACTAGTAAATATAATATTTCATTATATAGTAAATATTTTTATTTGATTCAATTACAAACTAAAGAAAATATTGCTTCTATTATATTAACATTATTTGAAAATTCTAATAACTTTGGGTATATTTCAAATTGTATTATTTTATTATCTGAATTTTTTAAATTCTCTTTAGATAAAACTTATTTAATGGAAGCTTATGATTATCTATTTTCTTCTGATTGTACACTTTCATCAGTTACTAAATTACGTCTTATTTACAATTCTATGGATTTTTGTTGTAGACATTATGTTAATTTATTTGAAGAATCAGAACAAATATCTAACATGAAAATATTCCAACAATTATCAAGAACAACTATTAAAAAAGAAAAGAATGAATGTATGAGATTATTTATGAAAATTAAACGTTTACTTGATTCAACTCAAAATATTCTAGCAGAAGATGATGAATATATTCCTCCTCAAGAATTATTTTTACAACATTTATTTAGTCATCCTTCTGAACTTACATTACAACAAAGAATTATTTTATTAAGAAAATTTAATTATGAAGACCCAGAAATTTGTGAATTAATTATAAGACATTTAATGGATTCATTGATTGATGGTGCTTTTATCAATGAAAGAGATGTTGTTGTTATGATTGTTCAAATTTCACAATGGCATCCAAAAATTTTAGTTTCTATCCTTGATCAATTAATTTATTGTACTACTTTTGGATTTGAACATCAAGGAGTAATGAGTAAACAACACAGAATTGTTTATGTTGCTGCATTAGCTCATTTATACAATTTAAATGGAATTAGTGATACTTTGATGTTTAAAATTGTTGATATTATTTATAAATTATCCAAATATTATCCAGAAAATGATGGACATTTATCTAGGAAGGTTACTTCATTATATTCTGGGAATTTTGGTGCTCGCTTATTAATCAAAATCTTTTCAATTTGTATAGACAAAATGTATTCTAAAAAACCTGTTTGGGTATTAAAAATGATTATAAACATTCAAATATCAATGAATAACAAAAATATTAAAGACTTAGAAGCTGATTTGATTGAAGTATTGAAAAGGCTCAATTTCCCTAGAATGAGAGGAATTCTTGGAACAACGGAATTAAAGAAAGTCTTTAGAGAAATTAGTCAAAAGAATTATACTCTAGAGCAAATTAAAGTTATTGTTAATAGAGCTTATAAAAATATCCAATGTCAACTTGATGCTGAATTTGCTTCGAGAATTGATGAACTTAAAAGATCAGAAGAGGCAAAAAAGAAAGAACTTGAAGAAATTAGAGTCAAAAAGGAAATAGAAAAGAAGAAAGAACAAGAAAAAATACAACGAATGACTAAAGAAGTTGATGAGTCTGAGTTCATTGATGAAGTGACTCAAAATATTAAAGAAATGACAGAAATGGCACCTGATGGAGCTATTTCTAATGAAACTCAAGTTGTTATGGCTTTAGACCCTCGTAATTTCCAGAAAGAGACTGGGAAACGAATAATTGTTGTCACCTCAGATGGAAAGCCTAAAACTCTCAGTCTAGGTGAAGAAAAAGAAAATAAATCAAAAGAGGAACCAACTCCAATACCAAAACCACAAAAGAAAAAAGTTAAAATCATTTTACCTCAGTAAATCAATGAATTGATTATTCTTTTTCTACTTGAATCTTTGTTATCTAAAATTTAAAATTACCAATTAGAATGTATTATTTAATATATACCCATCATTTTATTTTCTTCTTTCATTGGTTATATTTGTATTAATGACTTATCTCTTCTTACATCATTTATTTTTCTTTCTTTTTGTTCTTTTTCCAATTAACACAACTACATCTATTCAAAACAACTCAGAGATGTATGTTTTTAAAAACTAACACATTAAACAAAACTCGTGTTATTTAGGTTGAATATAACGGAAGACTATGAAAAAAAAGAGAAAAAGATTCATAAATTCTTAAAAGTAAATTAGAAGCATATGCTCTTGTCATAGTCAGTGTTTTTTGAAATAAAGAGAATAACTGTTTAACAGAAAATCTGGTTACTACAACCATCATATATTACTAAAGATTTATAAGTAATAGAATATCTTAATTAGACTAATTGATTAATTAAATACTAATACTCTAATGTAAATATTATATTAAACAGAATATTCACAATGACATACTTTATGTAAAGGTTCAATGTTTTAGAGTGGTATTCCTGTTAGAAATATCTTGTTTTGATACTTTTTCAGTTATATATCTTAATCATTTATTTTTATTAAATCTTTGTTTCATATTTGAAGAAAATTGTAATACTTTTTACTCGAGGAAGTAATGTCAATAATTTTGGTTTGTGTTATCTTATCAGGACTCGTGTTGTGTGTTTAATCAACTTAGTAAAAATAATAAACTAATGTACTTAATAAACAAAACAACAATAAAACATCCAAATTGTATATCTAAAGCTAAAACAAAACATAGATGGATGTTATGAGTTTGTACATAAACAATAAAACAAAAGTATCTTCAAATAATATTCAATAGTTAAATTAATACATTTCTATACAGGTATTACAGTGGGACATGTGTAAAGTATTTATTTATTTAAAGAAAATCTTTATTTCATAATGGAATAATAAAAGAAGAAAATTTTATATTGATTTGGTATGAAATACCTTTAAAATAACGAGTAAATTGTCAATATTTTAATATGACTTTGGTTATTGATGAATCTTATAAGAGACATGAAAATGTCAAAAATTGAAATAAATGTTTATAAAAAATATAAAAATGAATTATAATAAAACCAACGTCATGAAATAACTATATTTTCTACGAACGTATTTAGATGACACAAAATCTCTCAACATAGTCTCTATTCTTCTCGTTTTTATTAGAGTCTGTAAATTGAATTTGAGAAGTTACTATTAAAATTCAATTAATTGTCATTGTTAATAAATGTGGTATAAAAAAAATGAGAAGAAGAACAATTAAAACAGTTAGAATAATTCAATGAAATAAAACAAAATACAATTTAATTATTTTAAATTATGAAGTTTGGTAAGTATTTTAAAACAATTAAATTTGAAGAATGAAAAAACAAAGAGTAAAGAATTAAAGAAAGATAAAGAAATTGTGGAGTAGTACAATTTCCTTAACAAACTCATATAAATTGATTTTTATTGTTAATATGTTGTAAAAAAGCATTGATGAAATGAGCATGAAAACATAAAACTGAGAGTAAACAATAAATTAAGCCAAAACAATGAAAAAGGGTTATTTGTCGATGAGAAGAGTAATTGAATCTAAAATTTTTGTTGCATCTTGAGGGTTTTCTGTTTTTTGCATTAATCCTTGGTCAAGAAGGTCTTGGTAGATAGCTCTTGATTGAAGAACAAAGGCACCACAAGCGACCCAATTGTTTAAGTCCATAACATTGTTATATGAAAAAATTTTAGACAATATGTCAACAGTGCATTGGGTGGTTCCAACAAAACCAAGACCAGTAAGTCGTGACTTAATAATTTCTGGTCCACTTCCATTGTATGCATTGAATAAAGCATAACAAATTTCTAGATAACGATAGATAGCAATAAATTCATAAATATTTAAATGACCAGTTCTAGAGGTGTCAAAAATCCTCATAAATCTAAGTGCTGTTTGTGGAGATAAACGAATACATCCAGGATAACTTCCTGTACTAATTTCATCAATCTCTAATGTACCACTATGATCTTTATCAACTTGATTAAACCATGCAATAATTTGTGAAAATTGTTGTGGTTTAATGGATTGAATGATTGGGAAATACCACTTCTTCTGAAGTTCAAATGATGGAGGTTGAGGAAGTCGTTGTTCTGATAACTCCCAAGCAGGAACTGCAGGTGGATGAAGGTCAAAGATATTTACTTCTATTTGATTAAGAATTTGTTCTTTCTGAGATGAAGGATATTGTTGAGTTGTTGAATAAGTACCTTGGTATGTTTGCTGTGGTGGGTAGTTAGGGTTTTGTGGAGCTGTATATGTTGATTGTTGTGTTGGATAAGAGGATGTTGATTGTTGT